GAATATCATCATAATTAAAGTAACCCAATCACTACATGCATAATTTCATAACATTCTTCTTTCATCAACAAAGACCCTCACCACAAGATCACAATTGGGAAAATTGGGGATTTCATGGGTTGTTGGGAGATACAACATAAAAACCATAAGAAATCATCAATTCATACATAATATAACATAATCCAATCATTATAAACGATGTTGAAAGGAACCCATGACTTTGGAATCAAGCCCTAACATTTAGGGATTTCTATCTTTGAAATTGGGATTTGAAGGGGCTCCATGGATGAATTATATCCATGGATGAAAGCTACCATACCTTAATAACAATGCCCAATGAATTTTATGTGAAGAACCTTGCTCATGAACCCTAGATCCAACTTTCTTCCTTCTTCTTCTTCAACAAGTTCTACAGAGATAATATTTGGAGAGGATGAACTTTGGGAATTATTTTGGGTTTTGGAATAAATGACTTAATTGGGGTGGTTAAAGGGTTAAATAGCTTATATATGTGTACAAAGTCTAAACTAAATGACCTCACTTAATAACCACCTAATTAGGAATTTCCTAAAAAGCCCCTCACTAGGAAGCCATGTGCGTGGCACCACGGCAGGCTCCACGAGCCGTGGTCCCTTCCACGAGCCGTGTTCCTACCCGTGGTCCTTGGGCAGTGGCTTGGCTATGAGGCTTTAGCCTCCACAATACTAAGGCATCTTCACGAGCCTTCCCACGAGTCGTGGTCTTCACCATTGGCCGTAAAATTGCTCGTGAAGGTGAGACATTTTGAGGCAGCTCCATCCTAGCTACTTCCTTAGCCACCACGAGCCGGGTGGTGGTCGTGAAGTGGTGCAGTGCTTTGAGGCCCTGGGGCAGCCTTGGCCCTTGGCTTGGGCCTTTACCTTTGGTCTTGACTCTTGTTGTCCACACACTTAGCCCTAGTTGGCCTACTAAACTACGGGGTGTTACAACCATGAGCCGTGGTGTCTCTCGTGGTCATGGTCCAGTAGTGAGGAAACCTTCCCCTTAACCCCTAAAAACTAAGTCATCTCCACGTCCCCTCCCATGAGTCGTCTAAGCCTTCACGAGCCGTGAAGTGGCTCGTGTGGAGGAGCCCAGCTTGGGGATGCCTTGGAGAGCTACTGCCTCACCACCACGGGTGGCACCATGGGGTGTGGTGGCCACCTCGAGCCGTGAAGGCTAACGTGGTCATGGGCAGGGCCTTGGGAGAATGGGGCAGCCTTGGCTCCTTTCCCTTGGCTCTTGCCCTTTGCCTTGCCCTTGGCTTGTTGCCTTCTCACTTGGCCCTAGCTAACTTACTAGACTAAGGGGTGTTACAATATCTCCCCCTTGGGAATATTCGTCCTCAAATGACGATTTAGACACCTTGCAGAAGTAAAGACTCAAGACTAGCAGCCCATCATGCATACAACTCATCAAATGCACATAAACAAGAGGAAGACATTAACTCCAACTCAATAATACTCGATGCATCACAAGGAAGTAGGAACTATATCTAACAACCCATTATGCATGAAATTGAACATTTCTCATGTTCTTAGGAGGAATTACCTTCTCCAGGCTAAAAGCATGCTCAACAAAATCTCATGGAGTCTTTATGCAATTTACTCTAAAAAAATAATTAAAGCATGTTCAACAATTCATCTCATGAAGCACATAGGCAACTCTTACTCAATACACAACAACATAAGGAAAATCAATCATGTAAACTCATTTTCTTGCTAAAAATAAATTTCTCATGAACATGCATAACATAGGGAAATCATGGAGAACTTATATAACACACATGACTCCCAAAACAAGACAACACTCAAGAGAGACTACTTACCTCAAGCTAGAATAGGAGTAGAAGGAAAAAGATGAGGATAATGGGACATCATATCGGCATCGGCCTCCCAAGTAGCACCCTCAACTAAATGATTCCTCCACAACATCTTTACTGAAGCAATTTCCTTGTTTCTCAACTTGTTAACTTGCCGGTCTAAGATCTCAATCAGAACTTCCTCATAAGAAAATTTTCATCAAACCCCAACCCTTCTAAGCGGATTATGGATGATGGATCTTGATACGTCCAAACTTACATTTCGAACAATAAGTGTAAATGGTCGTTGTCAATTTACAGAATTCAACTAGAGTTGAGGTCGATCCCACAGAGAATTTCTTTGCAGATAAAGTTTTACTGTCGTGATTATCCGAATGGGCTTGGTTGAAATGTTCTAATTACCAACACTTGTCGTCCAAATCCAGAATTATGATTAATAGACTATCTTGTTGTAAAGTTAATTCAGTTAATTAAGAGAAACCAGGATTGTGTTCACCATAACATTAGTTCTAGTGTTCCCCCGTAATTTGAGTGTCAGGCAAATCAATGTTTACAAAATCTTTGCGAGTTAAATTTATCTAATGTTTCTCAGCCTAATCAGATAACTACTACTCATGTTCTCTCGACCTTAGAGTGTTACCAACATTGAACCTCGCTTGAAATGATATGGTGTTAAAGATCTTTTCTCTCGAACTCAAGCTTTAACTCCAATTTGTTAATTTAGTTCAGCTTTCTTCCTAACTAGTATTTTTCTCTCGAACAAATACAAGATACAGGCTCGTCTAATGCGTGCACTCACTAGACTACAATGATATTGAAAGCTAAAAACTACAAGTTGTAAACATAGACTGCCTTTTACTCGTTTTATGGGATCGCAACTAAAATATCATCATAGATTCCACAACCCCAATAGAGGTATTTAGTCAATCATGCTTTCACATAAACAATCAATAATTAAGGATGAAGGCATATTGAAAAAGACTTACAAATTAATTGGCAAAACAACAATCACTTTGATACGCTGATAATCTCAATCCGAATTCCCAATTGATAACAATAATCAACAATCCAAAAATCGAAAGCTAAGAGGAATGCTCTGTTCTGAGTTGTCAAACGTAAGATAATGCCTGATAATTTCAAAACGACCTAAAGTAATTCAAAATAGAATGTTTAAAATGAGTCCTAATCGAATTAGGACTGAGTTGTCGGGACTTTTCACGGCCACTACCATGACCCGTCAAGGGCTTCACAGTCTGTGAAGCCCTCCGTGGTTTTGCCTTAGAGGTTCCCCAGAGTGGGTCTTCAAACTTGGTCACTGGAAAATGCATCACGGAGCTACCACGATCCGTTGTGAGGACCATGGCCTCTGAAGTCGCCCGTGGTCTTCACTTGGGTTTCAACCTTCTTTCAACTCTTTCTTGCTTTCATACTGGTTCAGCTTCACAACAGGTACCACGGTCAGTGGTGAGGAAAACGACTCGTATAACCCTCCATGATCTTCACTTGGTTATTCTTGCTCTTCATCTTCTCAAGGCCTAGCACTGCCTCACTTTCATGAGCTCAACCACGGACCATAAGGAAGTTAACGATCCGTGAAGTTGGCAGTGAACTTCACTTGGTCAACATCAGTTCTGCTTCTTTTTGTACTTTTCTATACAACCCAGATTCTGCCTACACATTTAACAAACCCATCAAATAATCCCAAAATTTCACTTAATTCCAGTATTAGTTCATAGTTATTAAGCATCAAATGTGCCACAATTTCGCGGCACATCAGATCGCCAACACACTTCTTAAGCATTGAGTTATGAAACACCGGATGCACCGAAGCCAATTCATTTGGCAATTCTAACTCATAGTCAACTTTATCAATACACCTCAAAATTTGGTATGGGCCTACAAACCGGTGACTAAGCTTCCCTTCCTTACCAATCTCATAACACCCTTCATAGGTGAAATTTCCAAGTGGATCAAATCATGAACATTAGGGACACTCAACAACTTACTATCTAAGCACCCCATCTCCCCCTTGGGAGAAAGCCTCAACTAATTCCTTAAACACTGCTTCTTTTCAAGTCAACCATAATTGGATCAAGCCCTTGCTTAGCTTTCACATCCTTCACAAAAGACGGTTTGGACCCATTGTGAACCACGATACCACCCTTGGTGGAGTCCACTAATTGAACACTTAATCGGGCCAACCCATGAATATCCCGAACTAACTCTTTCTTATCATCATCTACATGAGCAATACTTCTCATAGACAACCTACTAAGAGCATCCGCTACCACATTTGCCTTGCCGAGGTGTTAAAGAACATTCATGTCATAATCTTTCAATAGTTCAAGCTACCTCCTTTGGCGAAGATTCAAATCCTTTTGACTAAACACGTATTGTAAACTCTTGTGATCGGCAAACACATCAACATGAACCCCATATAAATAATGCCTCCAAATATTTAAGGGAAAAACAACCGCCGCTAATTCAAGGTCAATCTGCCTTCCAATATAACCTCAAAATCTGATCAAACACGACTCGAGACAACTAGCAGGAGTGGTAAATGGTAATTTTCTAGAGAATTTCAAAATGACCTTCAGGATCATAACATTTGAATACAAATGACTCATAAATAAGACAAGATATTTGGCAGATTTTGTACTTGATTATGAATTCTCCTGAATAATGATGAATCACACACTTGAGAGTCTAATTTGAAATGAGAAAATTTTTAGATAATGATTTATTCTAATTTATCATATAAAAAACGATGACTCACACACACTCGAAAGACAAATTTGAAACAAGGGTGTGTGTAGAGAATGATTTATTCTAATTTACCATATCAGAAAAGATGTCCTCTGTCTTTTACTCAATTAAGTTAAATTATTTTTGTATGAAAAAAAATACGATGAATACAGCATATAAAAAATAAAAAAATATAATTGTGGATTGTAAATATTGAAACTGTAGTTAATGAGTCTTATTAATGCCCAATTTTAGTTGTTTCTGAAAATTTCCCTTTCATATTTCACTAAAATGGCAACAATAACATAAATATATTAATAATGAGCAACAAACTTATAACTAGGAGATCTACTAAAATACAAGATGGAAAATTAGGTAATGGAAAAATAAAAAGATTAAATGCCCAATTAACACTTTAATTAGGATGCCCATCATTCTCTTCTCCAGCATTGTTGTCATTAGCACCGATTTCATTTGCAACATTTCCACTGAGTTGCATCTCCATTTGGTCTAGTTTAGCCCTCTTATCGTTAAATAAATTTAACAACCCTTTGATGTCACAAACATCAAATTCATCAAACTTTTTTCTTCCCTCAACAAGTTGGTTGAAGAGGTTCTCCATTTCCTTCTCCTTAGCCATTTTCTCTAATTCCCTGATTTCTTTTTCCCTATCATTCACTATAGATTGAAGGTAGGCTTCATGTTCAACTAACTTGTATTGTCTTTGTTTCTCTGGGCAAGCTAGATAATTAGTTACTATTTCATTAGCCTCAGTTAAAGACGGCCAAGTAAAATTATCAGTTTCTCCAGGAGTAAAAGATATTATACTAACCTTTACAACACATAGAATAGACGACTCATATGCTTTCTTACACAATGATGCTAATCTTTCCTCAGTAATTTTTTTTCTCTTTCCTTCATCAAGATTTCTAGTGGTCCAACATACCCCCTTTCCAGTCATATTTTGGTACACAAAAAGTGAAAGAGTAAAATATGTAAGTGAGTATCTATCTCTGAATATAAAATAAGAGTTTTTGAGTTATATTTATAGTTGTCTGATATGACGACATAATTAAATAATTGAAAGTTGACTGAGATAATCTGACAAAATTTAGAAATAAATTAATTGCACAAGCCAATCTTGAAGTTGGAGTTTAAATAATTATATTTCCATATTTTAATGAGTTTATGGAAGGTTAATATTGTTGAAATTTACTTTCCTTCTGTTCTATGATCTACATTAATGGTAGAATATTTTCATTTTATCCTTTTTAGTCTAAAAATATTCTATACTATTTAGTTTCTTTTCATATTTAAATTTACGTTAATGGAAAAATATTTACTTTCCATGGAAAAATATTTACTTTCCTAATAATATTTAATTGCTTATAAATATTGATGTGCTCTTCTCTTTGAATGAATGCAAATATGGGGTGTACATGTCAAACCATCAAGCCAAACTAAATTGGCGAACCAAGTCAAATCGACAAACAAACTCGATTTGTGGTTTGATTTGATTGGTTTATCATTGAAATAAAAATCCTAACCGTTCTTGGTTTGATATGGTATTAATAAAATAAAAAAAAGTCAAATAGAATTCAAACCAAACAGACATAATACATTTATAATTTTAATCTTTTATTAAAAAAAATATTTATAATAATCTACTTTACAAGTATTTTTCAAATTAGTTTTGTAACACTCCGACTTTCCGAAACGTCTAAACTTACTCGTATCTCCATGGAAAGACAAGGAGGGTGGGTAATAAACTAAGAATGATGTGGTATGTCCTATTTTAAGTGTTCAAGTGTTGCATCTCAAGTTTTGAAGTTAGGTAAGTGGCAAAATAAAAGTTGGCGGAAGTTATCGTAAGTTCGTTCTTAAAGATTTCTCTGAAATTTGGGTCAAATGTCTTGGAGGTTTTCTCCCAATATATAAAGAGTTATGGGGCCCACAAACTATCGAATCGAAGGTCTACAAGTCTAGTTTCCAACTCATCAAACCATTTGTTCGTACGACTTCAGAATAGAGAGATATTAGCGTTTTCGTAGGACTGCGCAAGCAAGCACGTGAGGTGGGGCCCTAGGTCGGTGGAAAGTTGCATATATCGTCTTCTTCGAATTTTTTGTTCATTTTTAAGCTAATAACCAGAGAAATTAGAGAAACCCATTTCTAGGATCAAGTGAAGTACAAATTTTCTCGACTTAAGTCCTTGACGAAAGTTGTTCTACGCGTTGGGTTCATCATCGTGGTATAATTTGTTTTATCGATTTCGTAGCATATCACATTTTAGTGTTGTGACAGTAAGGGTTTGAATATATTTGAAGGTTTTGAGGCGTATTACGAACCTAAGATCGAGGTAAGACCCTTCTTTCATCGACTCTAGCTTTTATAAGCAGCAAATAGCAATTTGCGACGGAAATACATATCTTTTATCGTATTGTCATGGTATCTTTTATTTTGTGTGTTGATTATGGTCCTACCTTGTTGTAGTATCGAGGGAGTTATGAGTAAAAGTCATTAGCCACGTGAATTTAGCGAAAAAGGTATGTTAAGGTTATTCCCTACTTACGACATGTTCCTTATTATACTTGATATACTTGTAGCGTCATTGTTGATTATTGGCTGCTCGAGTTGATCTAATCCTCCCTTGTCGGGATTCTTATTCATTTAGTAGTGTCCCTATGTTGGACACGACTTAGAGGCTACTTGTATAAGTTTCTTATAACTAGATTGCTCGCTTTTAACGATTTGATTGTTATTGTTGCCCTTGAGGCTATTGTGGTTAGCTGCAGGAATGTGATTTATGCCTAGAAAGGCTATGTTCTGCCTATGGGGCCATATGGATAACTAAAAGGGCTATATGTTTCCTACGGGGCTATATTGATGCCTAAGAAGGCTATGGACTTCCTACATGGCTATGTTGTTGCCTAAGAGGGCTATGAGTTGTCTATAAGCTATGTTGATACCTAAGAGAACTATGTGCTGCTATGGTGTTCTATTAATGCCTAAGAGGGATAGGCGATTGCCTACAGGGCTAGGGGACTATCGATAGGGGTATATAGACTGATTGGCACCTTCCGGGCTTATGAGGGTCTGAGTAGGTTGTCTTGTGTGATGTTTGTACCTGCCGAGCTTATGGGGGCTCTGTTAGGTTGTTGTTTTATTAATTTTGATAAATTTAGATTTATGAGCAGGTCAGTACACTTATCTTATCCTTGATTTATTTATCGGATTATTCCAGTATATTAAGATACTTGATCATAGCCTATTGTCTTTCATACTCTGTACATTATTTTGTACTGACGCCCCATTGCCTGTTGGCGCTGCATTCATGCATGCAGGTCCTGACAGACGACTGAGTAGACCTCCTCAGCGGCAGGATTGACTTCTATTCCGTTGGCTATCTCCTTTCCTCCAGAGCTGCCAGTGTTTGGAGGTTTGTTAGATTTTGTTGTACATATTTCTATGGGTAGGCTGGGGCCTGTCCCGCCAATCATTAATACTCTTAGAGGCTTGCAGACTAGTGTGTGGGGTTTATAACTACGTTATGGCCATGCTGGCCTAGTTTGTTGGTTTGCTGAAGCTTGTTGGTTGTGTGATGCATTGTCTTGTTATATGCATGCTTTCAGTTTTGGTATAGAGATCATGGTGGCCTTGACGGCCCAATCAGGACTTCTGTGCTAGTTGACAATTTCTTTATATGAACTCTTGGGAGTAGTTGTTTCTTTTGTAGATCTGTTGACAGGGGCCTTGCCGGCCGAGGGATTAGTTTTAAGCCGAGATATACTTGTTTGTTTTCTTAATTGCATGTGACTTCCATGCGCTAGTAGCAAATGGTTCAGCAGGGTCAGCTCGGGCCTGAGTTTTGGCATTAGGAGTCAGTTGTGCCCCTTGAGTTTGGGGCGTGACAAGTTTATAGCTTTCAATGTTTATATATATTATTTCATATTTGGGCTTTTAAAATGACTTTAAATATTGGCATGCATTGTGTCTTTTCGTGAATTTTTTTATATATTTTCCTAACACAATGTCTCAGATATTCTATTGTATACTTATTTTTTCTAATTTTATTTATTCAAGTGTCCTTTTGATTCCATTAAACAATATAATCACTCACTCATTTGCCAATGGTATCATATGTCTCTTCAATTGGGAACTTCACATGTTGAATGAAATACACGGTCAAGATAATACCCTTTCAATCTGATATATTTTTCATTCATGGTGTAATTATAAGAAATAAATTTTTTTTTGAGAAAATCGGACGAAACGACTACTAAGATAAAAAAAAATTGACTTTTTGTTGGTTTGATTTGGTTTATAGATTTAATAAACCACTATAACTAATTTAGTTATTTGCTTAATGAAAAAATCAAATCAAATCGACCTAGGTTGTCATGACCAAAGTCTCAACCCTAATTGAGACACAGTATTTTGAACCACAAATGATCCCAAGCTAACCTTGGCATAACATATCTAAGCATATCACATTAGAACTAAATGGAAGCTATAAATAAATATCATAACTGAAATAGATTTAAGAAATAAATCTTTTACATACTAATGTCTGAAAGCCGCTAAACTAAATGAGATAATTTGCTAGGACAACACACTGGGCAGCCAAAAAGCTAACACAATTGAAGTGAATAACATATACTGACTCATAGTTGAAGTCCTATGAATGCGAGGAGGACTCACCACAATAAGTAGATGAACTTAGTGGAACATCTGGCCGCAAATCTGAATCAGGGTTCTGAAATCAACATCATAAAATGAAGTAGCATTAATACATGAAATGTATTGGTATGCAAGGTAAGTGATGAGATCAACAATTAAACAAACAACTAAAAGAATTATAAATATGAGCATGAGTATGTCATGACCCAAAAATGGACGTGATGACACTTGTCTTTTTCCACCAAAACAAGTCAGCCTCAACCCAATGAAAACTAAAGAAAAGAAAAATAACATCAAAAACAAGAATAAGATAAAGCAAAAAAAATATTCTTTTGTTAAAACCCCCAAAATTTGGTTGTCACGTGTACAAGAAACTAAATACATAAGTACGGAATTAAGAAATAATTACAAGTCTCAGTCTTTGTTTCTCAAATAGAATAAAGTGTAAGAAAAGGAAAAAAGAGGGTCCGTCGAATGACAAGCAACTACTTCTTTAAGTTCTTGACAAACCTCGAGATCGAAGAAAAGAGGAAGAGATCACGCAGGTACAGGCTCAAAACCTACACAAGTATAGAAGCAAGGGGTGAATACCAACAACACGGTACCCAACAAGCAACCTACTAAACAAAGCAACTAGCTAGAAATCAAATACCTCTTACACTCAAACCGAACCTCCTCAAACTACAACCTTCATAAACATCAGTCCAACCTAGCAATTCTGCAATACACGGCTCACAAGCTCAATATTCACAGTTCAAACTTCACAATTCAACAATCATACGTATCAAATAAGTTAATCTCAATGACAAGAAATTCAATCACACACAACAAGTACATCAATCTCAAGTCTTAAGCAATTTACGCATAATCATTTATACACCCATTCACAATAATCAATCTCTGGCCGAAACTATTTCCCATCGTCTGTATATCACTAGCCAGAATCATTTCCCATAAGCTTTATAACCATTGCCGAAAATGACTTCAGCATATTAACACTCGCCGGTAATGACCTCGGCCAAATCATACTAACGCTGGCAAAGATCTCGGCATGATAACACTTGTCGGTAAAACTTTGGCCTCATAATCATCACATGTCTCATCACGGTGTTCAACGATCAATGCACGCAAGCAATATCACACCACATATATAGAAGAGACAATAGTTACATAATTCAAGTCCATAATCACGCTTTCAAGCATATCATCAATCAATCAATAAGGGTTACATTAAGGCAAAACAGCATCATGTTCAACACATAGCCTTTTTCATTTCAAACC